TAGATGATAGATAGATAGATAGATAGATAGATAGATAGATAGATAGATAGATAGATAGATAGATAGATAGATAGATAGATAGATAGATAGATATCCCCCAAGGTCAAATAAATCACCACAGAATGGGCTGGACCTACTAATATAATTGATATATTTGCCACTCAAATTTAGTTCGGTACATCCCTCAATCTAATAAGAGAGGGAGATTTTGTCAATTAGTTATTAATTATTAAACTTTTTTAAAAGGCTTGTGAATTTTTAATTTAATAAATTTTTAATTTATTTTTATGGGTTTATATTACATATTATTTTACCTATACTATACTACGTATAACATAGTATACGTTACACCCACATGCCCCCCCCCAAAAAAAACCCCATCAATTTTATCCAAAAACAATCAGGTTATAGAGGCAAATTGAGCTGAGAAAGAATGATGGATACAAAATCACCCAGGGAGCTCCATGGCTAAAAAGTGGGCTTGAACTAACCTTAATCCATTTTTGCAAGGCAACACAAGCGATTATGTTTTGGATAAGCACGTCCATGATTGTTCGAGGCCCACAGACATGGATTTGATCTAGGTGGATTTCAGAATTATGAGTCATGAAGTTGGCAGGATGAATCATGTGCGATGTGGAAGCTTGCCAGCATGGTCTGACTGCGGCAGCTGTAGTTTGATGATTAAGGGGCGCTTGTTTTATTAAAAAATGGAAGGGCAGGATAAAGGATGTGGCTTAAAGCATGCTTTCAGGTATGGATTTGTCGGCTGATTGTTTACTTTGTCTGTAAATGGATTTTGTGAACTACTTGAAGGGCAGGTCCACGTAGCCTGCTTACAAGTAGCACGAAACCCAGTTCCCAGTTGCCTCCATCTCATGCCCACTGCTGAAGTTGATTCTCTAATGCGAGGAGGGGGGAGGAGGGAACTATGGCCCTTTTACGATCTGTGAACTTCAACTCCCAGAATTCCTCAGCCAGTACACTCAGGAAGCTGAAGTTCACAGATCATAAAAGGGCCATAGTTTCCCGCCCCTTGCAATAATGGAAGTAGCGTTTCCCCCCCAGGAAAACAGAAAATTATTTGTGCAATCTGTTTAAATTCTATTTAGTGTTTTGTTCTTTGACACTACGGCATTCAATATCTTTACGGGTCTCACTTGGGTTAAAAACATCACCTTGATTTCTGAAGTTATGAATGCTAATTATTTGTATATTTTCAATTAGCAGTATGTAACCTTATAACTTGACATATATGTCACGTGCATGTTATTTGATTCCGCATCCAATTATGGTATTCAGTATTGCAAATGAAAAGTTGGAGAGATACATGATTCTTGGGCCATATGGTTTGATGACTATATGGATGCTTCCTCTCACAGGAGATGTACATTTGAGATTCTTTTTAAGGAACTCAAAAGTGCAGCTTAGGTTTAATTTCTATAAGATTCTGTCCTTAAATCTTTCATGCTTGTAAAGTTAGAAAATTGAATTGGGTTGTGTCATTTGTTTGTTTCTTTGCTTGCTTATTTGGTTGGTTTTAGGTACTCTGTGTCTAGAAATAATTGGATGTTAAAAATGGCAAAATTTGTAAGCTTGATGAATATTCTAATATTACCTGGCACTTCATTAATTCAGGCATATAAGGTTATAATTTAAAACAGCATTTCTTTCTTTTAATGTAATGCAGCTGAAATTGAGCCATTTACATATCATGTTGTTTTTTTTTAATTATCTTCCAGTGGCTAGTCATGTTTATATGAGATGGATGGATGGATGGATGGATAGATAGATAGACATAATGTAAAAATACATTATGTATGATATTCATTTGCTACAACTACAGCATTAGTTGCAACGAATGAATAGCGTATATTCATTTACAGTATATAAAATCAGGCCAAATTATGCGGGCAGCAGGGCTTTGGATCGACAGAAAGGTCTCTTCTAAACCAGTTTTCAGTTCTACATGGTGTGCAATTATCCAATCTACAATACGTAAAGTATGCATCTAAGGACATCTCTTTATCTAAATTGGGGTTGGATTGTAATCACATTGTGAATATTTTAAAAATGCAATGAAAAGCAGCACTTGTCAGATTTTAAATATGGAAAATTATATGTCTCTGCAGCCCTCTGATTAAAAGCGAGACGGGATGAGATTAATATTGCTCTCTTTTCTGTAACCTTTTGAGTATAAACGCAGAAATATAATTAATGCTGTTGCGTTAGAATATAATTTTCCCCTACATTTATGAAGTCATTGGATGTTAGTAACGAAATCATTTCTATGTTACTTGGTTAAACCCAAACTGTCAACCTGTAATGTTATGTTCTGCTTACTCTAGATTGTGAGTAAATAATAATCATCATCATATACAATGTACATCCATTACATTTATTTTCATTTAAGTGGCTTTTATATGTAAAATATTTAATGCTTCAAGGAGCAGACAATGATTTCCTCCTTCAATTTGTTCTCTACAAAATAATATCCTACTTTCAGGGATTAAACTCACCAAGCACTCTTAATTTTAATAATAGTCAGAAAAACATTTTTAATAATAGTAAGAAAACTTTGTATAATGTGACTTGATGTTTCATATTCCCATCCTGGCTTGAGTTTTGTGCACTGGTAACCATGTCTTTTGTCTCAAAACAGCAAACTTATTATTACACTGGGTAAAAAACAGAAGAGAAAAATTGATTCCTCAGATGAAATGTCAGATGCTAAACAGACAACTCAGCCACCCTTCAAAAACGAAGGTTCACAGGTATTTTTTTTTTTTTAAAAGCAGTCTTTTTTAAAAAATAGGTATTAACTTAAGGTCAGCCTGTCTTACTCCCAATCCTTAAAAAAGAACCCAGAAAGAAAATGATTGTAAATCTTGGGTTAAGGTAATGTCCTTCTATCTATTGTAGAAAAGAAGATCGAATCGCCAAGTTAAAAGGAAGAAATATGCTGAAGAAGGTGAAGGAAAGCAATCGGAAGAAGAAACCAGAGTTTCCGTAAAAATAAAAAAAAATTCTGCTCCTTTGCCTGCTGAGCAGCCTTTGCAATTATTTGTCGTAAGTAAAATCTTAACTGGGCAGTTTAGGTCTTGCAGTTCTCCTTATATATAAGTTTGAGGGACATATTGGGGGGATTCTCTACCTAGGCAACAATAACTACAGATACATTTTGTCAAAAATGCTTTGTAGTGTGATACTGTACTCAACATCTCTTGTGTTGCACTAGGGAGCCCCAGTATGATTTCAGGAACAACCCTGAGAAGCAGCCTAGGTGAACACTAGGTGTGTGAGAACAATACATGGTGCATTGTGTTCTGGGTGCTCTCTAAATCCTTTTACTCAAAGGGCCTTTTGTGGGCTGGATACACAATGCATGCACTTAGCTATTCCACTGCTGTCGGAGTTCACTGTTGTCAGAGTATCCTTGTATTGTCAAAACAAAATATATGAGTATTTGTTCACTGAAAGGAAGAGTACAAACAGAACTTCGTGTCAAGGATTTTGTTTGCCACACATTGAATAACCAGGTGGAAACTCTTGAGTCACAATACACACTCACAGTGCTTTAGTTGCTAAGTAATTCCTTCTCCTCCGGCATCCCTGATGGGGATAATTCTTGTATGATTAAAGTGTTGTTCATATTTTCATCTAAACAGGAGAATCCAAGTGAAGAAGATGCAGCAATTGTAGATAAAATTTTATCTTCCAGAATTAAAAAAAAAGAAGTGAGTAAAATTATGGAAGTATTCATGAGTTTTTAAATTTCAGAATTAAAATAAAATGTGTAAATGTATATTAAACGGGATATATGATGTACATTTTCAGATTCCTGGGACTGTGTCAGTAGAAGCAGAAGAATTTTTTGTTAAATACAAAAACTAGTAAGTATTGTAGTTAAACTGCTGTTTTGGTTGACTACTTCATCACATCTAATTAAAATCATAAGTTCTACATTTTGGAGTGTTTATCCAAATTAATAGCATACCTTTATACTTGAGTTTGTAAAAAAAACATTTTTTAAAGTCAGGCAACCATAGAACAGAATTGTCCTTGGTTCTTAAATTCCTTTGACCATGTAGAACTGTCTCAATATCACACTAGCAGTTAGCAAATGGAAGGAGAACATTTTATTCCTGCTTATGAGTCAAATCCATAGTTTGGAATTTCCTATCCGGTGCATGTTGTGGTAGAGTGTCTAATTCTAAAATAAGGGTGCACTATTTTATGTATGCCCTTTGACCTCACTCCAGAGTTCAACAACAAGGAAATAAATGCTCTAAATTAAATCTCCAGCAAAAAATTCTAGCAACCACCCCACCCCCCCGAACTTCATTTTTTTTGTTGCACAAGTTGTCTTAATGTTGTAAAAGCTTGCATAAAACCCCTGCTTGCAATAATACGGTTCCACGCCCTTTCGTAATCCTAGCTCCTACCTCCACTGTGAATGGGCTACAGAGCAGCAGCTTTTAAAGGACAAAAGAATCCAGCAGAAAATCAAACGTTTCAAGCTGAGGCAAGCACAGAGAGCCCATTTTTTTGCAGATGTGAGTATAAAATCCCACCCTGAAATCTTGCTAAACCAATTAATGTATTGATTGTTAGGGCTTTATACAATTTGCTCTTTTGTCATGTTAGAGCAGCTCCCTCCCCACTCAACTTTTTGGGCACCGGGGACCGGGTTCTGTGGAAAGAGGGTTTTCCGTGGACCGGAGGGGGCGTGGTTTTGCATGCTGCCTGCATCCCAGGGATGGCGCTTTGCTTGTTTATATGGACTGGTTTCTGGCATGTCCCGGCCTCCACGAACTGGGGCTTAGAAACCCCCGTGTTATATTTTGGGTGTTGTTATAGCAAAGAACATGTTTGCGCTGTTCATTTTTAGTAGTCGAATGTTATAAATGGATTTTTCTTTTTTTAAAAAGGGAAGAGAACAATTTTTTCAAAGCATGCTATTAATAATTAGGGTGCAGCCAGTAATATGAATCCATCACAGTGCACAGCAGTCTGTATTTCAAGCCTGAGTTATCTTGTTCAGGTAAATAAAATACACATATTTATAACCCTCTTTTAATTTTTAGATGGAGGAAGAACCTTTTAATCCTGATTATATTGAAGTAGACCGGGTTTTAGAAGTCTCCTTTTGTGAAGATAAAGACACTGGAGAGGTATATTTTTTTTAAAAAAAATATTTAAATATTTTAAAATTATTTTTTTAAAAACAACACTCATATATAAATCAATGGTTGGGAAACTAATGCATATACTGTATATACTGATATGTACTTGACCCATACATGAGCTATAGAAATAAATTGTAGGGCAGAATAAATAGGTAAATAACAAATTTAATATTCAGAACATCCAAGAACTGGGTGGTAGGAAAGAAAAAAAAGAAAAATGATGGGGAAAAGAAGCTCAATCTAATGAAGATTTATACTCAGTAATTATACATGAGAGCCCTGATGGTTGAGTGGATAACCTAAGTAATTTTCCCCCCACTGCAGCATGTTACTTACTATTTAGTAAAGTGGTGTTCCTTGCCATATGAAGACAGCACTTGGGAATTGAAAGAAGATGTAGACCAAGGAAAAATAGAAGAATTTGAACAGCTGCAAGCTTTACGGCTTGATTCAAGACGATTGGTAAGATAACTAACCATTTTACTGAGAAATATTACTAGAAATTGTATCATGAGGTCCATCTCAGCTCCTTCAGATAAGTAAAATATAGAAATCTCTTTTCTGGTCTTTGACATCGAGGATAAAACAAGGAATGGGTTGGATTGAATTGGATTAGATTGGATTGTTAGACCCTGAAGCTTGATGGGGTGGGTCTCCCTCTCCCTCCCTCTCTCCCTGATGAAAAAAACAAAAACGCAGGCTAATTTCTTACGTTATTCGTATAAATGTGCATATTTCAGCAACTGTATTTCAGAAGCTAGTCTATAGTTTCCCAGATTTACAGGGATATATTCTTCATAGTCCTTTTCCCCCCCCTCCCCCTACATTCTTTGTTTTGTTTTTTTTCTTCAAGTGGATAATTTCAAAGAAGTTTCATTTTGTGTTTTATTTCCAAGGATCGCCCTCCTCCTAATTCATGGAAGAAAATAGAACAGTCCAGGGAATATAAAAACGGCAACCAACTCAGGGAATACCAATTAGAAGGTCTCAACTGGCTTCTTTTCAATTGGTATAATAGGTATGTTCTCTAAACCAAGTAAAGTAATCTTGATCTTATATAGCTGTTTTTAAAGTAAGTTGAAGTATTCCTGGTTTGAAATAACTGTCGGATGCACCAAAAGTAATAAAATGGGATATGATTAAAATTAGTACACACAGGATATGATTGAGTGGAATCTTATTGTGAGGCATAGGAGGCAATCAAGGGACCCATGTGAAATGTTCTTTAGTCCGATCTTACTACCTCTGGAGTCTCCAGCCATTTTTGCAGCACAAATTCATCCCTGCTTTTTAATTACGGTTAATAACTACGCTTCCAAATCTAGCATAGATATTTCATTCCAACAAATCTACTCTAGTCCAGTCTTATGAAGACTGGATTAAGGGTGACATGATAACAGTCTTCCAATATTTGAAGGGCTGTCACAGAGAAGAGGGGTCAACCTATTCTCCAAAGCAGCAGAGGGTAAGGGAAAGAAATAACGGGTGAAAAATAGCACTTAGCAATAGCAATTTAGACTTACATACTGCTTTACAGTCTCTCTAAGTGGTTTACAGAGTCAGCCTATTTCCCCCAACCATCTGGGTCCTCATTTTACTGACCTTGGAAGGATGGAAGGCTGAGTCAATCTTGAGCCTGGTGAGATTCGAATTGCCAAATTGCACGGAGCCGGCAGGCAGCAGAAGTAGCCTGCAGTACTGCACTTTAACCACTGCACCACTTAAAGAGAGATCCAACCTAGAACTAACAATGAGAACAATTAACCATTGGAATACTTGGCTCAAGAACTTATGGTTTGCTTTATCGCTGGAGGTTTTTAAGAAGAGATTGGACAACCATTTATCTGGAATTGTATAGCGCCGTGATGGCAAGCCTATGGCACAGGTGTCGGAGGTGGCATGCAGAGCCCTCTCTGTGGGCACACGTGCCGTCACTAGCTGCTGAAGGCCGGAAAACGGCATGAAAACAGCCAAAAACGCCCCCAAAACAGGTTGCTTTTAGCTGTTTTCCGTGCCATTTCTGGGCCATTTTGGCCATTTTGCAGGCCATTCTTAGGCTGCTTTTGGCCCTCTGCTGGAAAAATAAAAAATGGCCCCAAAACAGCCTGAAAAACAGCCTAAAATGGCCCAAAGGATGGCCTGAAAACAGCCCAAAAAACAGGCATGCGCGCATCAGCCAGCTAGCCTTTGAGTTTCTGGCACTCTGGTGCACATGCAGGTACGTGTGTTCCAGTTTGGGCACTCGGTGCCGAAAAGGTTTGGTATCACTGGTATAGTTTCCCGCTTGAGCAGGGAGTTAGACTAGCAGACCTCCAGGCTTCCTTTCAACTTTGTTATTCTGTATATATTCCTCCTGATGTCCTTGTGTACCCAACAAGTGTACTTGTGTTTGCAGACAAAACTGCATTTTAGCAGACGAAATGGGCCTTGGCAAAACCATCCAATCAATAACATTCCTCTATGAAATCCTTCTGAACGGGATAAGAGGACCCTTCTTGATCATTGCTCCGCTTTCAACCATCACCAACTGGGAGAGAGAATTCCGCACCTGGGCCGACCTGAATGTTGTGGTCTATCACGGAAGCATGATTAGTAGGCAAATGATACAGCGCTATGAGATGTATTTCAGGGATTCACAGGTAATTTTCTGCACTTGATTCTACACAGTAATAAACATGGCGAGCGGATGTATATGTCTTGCGTAATGCCGACGGTCTCCGAACCTGGCAACTTTTAAGGCTGGTGCACTTCAACTCCCAATATGGCTGGCTGAGGAATTCTGGGAGTTGAAGCCCACAAGACTTACAGCTGCCAAATTTGGGGACCCCCCCCCCCCCCCAGCCGCCGGTATAGTGTATTTGAAATAGATGATTTTTATGCCCTGAAGAAATATATGAATGTACTGAAAACCTGTAGAATTGTATTTAGAGGTGTCAGATTATGCTTCCCAAATACTTTGCCTAGATATTTGACATCTTGAGAATTTAGATACACTTAAATAGAGGTAATTTATATGATCTAATCTGGGTTGGTCACCAGGTCTAGAGGTTTAGTCTTCCCAGCTTTTAGACTCATGCTAGAGCCCATCCTCCGGGATCTACCAGAATGTGTGCTTTGGGCTAATCTGTGCCTAATATTTATGTAGTGCCTGGTTGTTGATGGCTTTTTGTTTGTTGATTGGTGTGTTGATGGTCACCTGTTAAAACACTGGCTGTTCTTTCCTTGTGCTGCCAAGTCCTGACTCCTGATAATTTTTTTATACCAACTTCCTTTTGAATCTTTGGTTTCTTTCTCTTGTAGATCAGGTTATTACCCATATATGTGCTGCAAAAGAGAGTGGTTTTGGCATGTACATTTTGGTACAGTTCTTCATCAGAGGGCAACCTAATTTAAACAGCTTCCTTTCTCATCCCAGCCGCTCACTTCACTAGCAGATGCAATGAAAAATGGGAAGTTTGCAATAAGGTTGCAAACTGTGTTTTGCTTTCATTTATATTCTCCCAGGGCCGCATCATTAGGGAGAGCTACAAGTTCCAGGCCATTATCACCACTTTTGAAATGATTCTTGGGGGCTGTCCCGAACTCAATGCAATTGAATGGCGTTGTGTTATCATTGATGAAGCACACCGATTGAAGAACAGAAACTGCAAACTTCTGGAGGGACTCAAACTCATGAATCTGGTGAGTATTCATCTTGTAATGAGATATGACTCATATCAAAAGAGATGAAACCACACAGAAGGTAGAATGCTAAACTCCAAATCAAGGAATACATTGGATTCTTAGCTTGAGTTGGTTGTTTTATTGTTGCTCACTTCTGCTTTCCATAACCGTAATGTCCTTTGGAAGCTGGAATGCTCATGAGTTGAATTTACACACCCTCAAAAGATTTATTGTTATTTTGCAGCTTACAAATCAGGAAGGGATGTGTGTTTCTACCTCCTTAACTTTATTTTATAACTTTGCCTCTATGTAACTTTAACAATGTCTTGCATGAATCTCTACGTTTGCAATATAGCCGAGATTCTCTTGACCTTTAAACTCATTAAGCCATCTTTTTTTCTATTACATGCCGTTTTGTTGCTCAAAATGTATTTTGCAATCATTAGCATAAAATGACATTACTTAAAAGCAAAACAAGGTTACTAAAGTAACTATTTATAAAGTGGCATATGTGTACATTTATAAATTGACATATGGGGCTAAAACATACGAAGGACAATTTCAGGAATTCGGTATGTCTGGTCTAGTGAAAAGAAGAATTAGGGGTGACATGATAGCAGCGTTCCAATATTTGAGGGGTTGCCCCAAAGAAGAGGGGGGCAAGCTATTCTCCAAAGCACCCGAAGGCAGAAGAAAAAGAAGCAATGGATGGAAACTAATCAAGGCGATTAGGAACTAAGGAGAAATTTCCTGATAGTTAGAACAATTAATCAGTAGAACAGCTTTCCTTCAGAAGTTGTGGGTGCTCCATAACTGGAGATTTTTAAGAGGAGACTGGACTACCATTTGTTTGAAATGGTATAGAATCTCCTGCTTAAACAGGGGCTTGGACTAAAAGACCTCCAAGGGTCCTTCCAACTCTTGTTACTCTGTATTTTTCTTGTCATTACAGTTAGATCAAAAGATGGTTTATAACTTCTTGTCAAATATATTTTGCATACATCTTTAGGAGCATAAGGTGCTATTGACCGGCACACCACTGCAAAACACTGTAGAAGAATTATTCAGCCTTCTTCACTTCCTTGAACCTCTACGATTCCCAGCTGAATCTACATTCATGCAAGAATTTGGAGACCTTAAAACAGAAGAACAGGTATGAATCTTTTGTGTTACGCTGTTAAGATTCACATTCATACCCATTCAGAAACTAGAATATGATCAGTTACCCATTTCAATACAGGCCAGTAAATTAATTCATTTCATGGTCTCCCCAGCACCCTTTATAGAATGTCACAGTTATTCAGGAATGTTGCTATTTTTAATTTCTTGTGGTTCTTGTATAAATATACAGAGAATTTGGCAGAAAAAAAAATCACAGGTAGAAAAGTTTTTATACGTGCAGAAAAAATATTAAAAGGGGAGTCTGTGACTCTTACCAAAAATTGGCATCAAGCAGCCTTTTTAGCTTTGAACCCTGAAGCAGCCTTGCGTAGTGACTGAACAGTTTGTAAATTCTAATTGTTTGGTTTTTAGTTACTTATTTATGTTCTTTGTAGGTGCAAAAGCTGCAGGCTATTCTGAAACCGATGATGCTAAGAAGACTGAAAGAAGATGTAGAGAAGAAATTGGCTCCCAAGGAAGAAACCATTATTGAAGTGGAGTTAACAAATATCCAAAAGAAATATTATCGAGCTATTTTGGAGAAAAACTTTGCATTTTTGTCCAAAGGGGCAGGGCAAGCTAACGTGCCCAACTTAGTTAATACCATGATGGAACTCAGGAAATGCTGCAATCACCCATATCTTATCAAAGGTAGGTATGTTTTTTTTTAAAAAAACAACCCTTTTTTTATTTACTTAAGGCCTTGTTCATAGTGAGGTCGTCACCGCTGACTTTAGAATTAGGATCAATTCCTTAAAGAAAGACTCCTTGAGAATCCATTTGTTTACAACCCACTTAACAAATGTTGCTTTGTATAACATTATTATATGTTTCTCTGTGGAGAACATAACAACAGTGATTTACCTGACAGTTTCCATGAGAAGCATTCATAAAAGTGACAGAGGATGATGAACAGCGGTAAATATTTCCTTAGGCAAATTGTGGAGGATTTATTGCTCTATTTCTGATATGTGCTTCCAGACCAAAATTGTATAATATTTCTGTGCTTGGAAACAGAAGAAGAACTCAAATTAGTTTTTTTTTTGCTTTTCCTGAACACAGGGGCGGAGGAAAAAATCTTAGGAGAATTTAGGGAAACGTATAGTCAGAGTGCTCCTGATTTTCACCTGCAAGCAATGATCCAATCTGCTGGGAAACTAGTCCTCATTGATAAACTTCTTCCAAAAATGAAAGCGGGAGGCCACAAGGTGCTTATCTTCTCTCAGATGGTCCGCTGTCTTGATATCCTGGAAGATTACCTAATACATAAAAGGTGAGCTTTCCCTATTGCAAGCACCCATGCAGCTCTCACCCTAAGTGCTTTTCCATGCGCTTGGTTAACGTGCTGAGCTGTGCACGAATATTCGGCTGTGGATTTGCCCTCAATGCTAGTGTTTCTCAACCTTAACAGCTTCAAGGTGTGTGGATTTGAACACCCGTAGCTTGAGTTGACAAGCCAACTGATTCTTATATATCAAGTCTTAGATATTTGATCCTCTGAAGTCTTAACTCTAATACCAACAGAGCTTTCGTTGAATTGCTTCCTCTTTTTTTTTACACTTCAAAGGTACCTGTATGAGCGAATCGATGGGAGAGTGAGAGGAAACTTACGTCAGGCTGCCATTGATCGATTTAGCAAGCCGGATTCTGACCGGTTTGTTTTCCTTCTCTGTACCAGAGCTGGCGGATTAGGCATCAATTTAACAGCAGCTGATACGTGTATCATTTTCGATTCAGACTGGAACCCTCAGAACGATTTGCAGGTACAACCTGTCAACCCGCCAGTTTTAATCATGCTATAGGAAACTGAATGAATTGATTGTGACAGGATATCTTTTTGATGGGTTTTGATGTCCTGTCTCCTTAGGCTCAAGCTCGTTGTCATAGGATTGGCCAAAACAAGGCGGTGAAAGTCTACAGGCTGATCACAAGAAACTCCTACGAGAGAGAGATGTTTGACAGAGCAAGCCTAAAGCTCGGCTTAGATAAAGCTGTCTTGCAGAGCATGAGCGGCAGAGAAAACAGCGTTGGCGGGGTATGTTCCCCTTTGTTTCCTTACAGAAACTAGAAGCACGAAATGGAAAGGAAGAAAAAGTGCTTCCATCTCCCCCGAACCACTTTCCAGGGGAAGTTTTAAAAGCGACGCATCTCATAAAACCTTGCATCATATTTCTTCGCTCTCTTTATTTTCATTACGACTCATTCGTTTTGCAACAAGCTTGTGTTAGATGGTTGACTATCTTGAACAGAGTAAACATGGTTGGGATGTTGCATTCTGTCCTTAGGTCTTTGACTTAAAGGAGAGCCCACAAAATGCCGCTTGGGGTTCCTTAAAACTCTGCATATATTTAAATAAGAAAGCACGAGTGGGTTTTTGTTTGTAGTGGCACTGCTAAAAAGGCCTATATTGGGATTCCTTGACTTACAACCATTCGTTCAGTGACCAATTGAAGTTACAACGGCACTGAAAAATAGTGACTTACGACCATTTTCGTACTTACAACTGTTACAGCATCCCGGTGGTCATGATCAAAATTCAGACGGTTGGCATCTGACTCACATTTATGACGGTTTCAGTGTCCGGGATCATGTCATCCCCTTTTGCGAGCAAAGTCAATAGGGAAGCCAGATTCACTTAACAACCCTAATACTAACTTAACTGCAGTTAAGTTAACATCCGCGGCAAGAAAGATTGTAAGATGGTGAAAAACTCACTTAGCAACTTTCACATTTAGCAACATAAGTTTTGGGCTCCGTTGTGGTCCTAAGTCGAGGACTACCTAGATTAAAAAATTCCAGAATAATGTAATGTTTCGGAATATTTCCAGTAAGGATGGAAAGAAATTGTTTTTATTAAATTACAAGTATGATTAAACAAAAAGTATTTTTATTATGCAAGGCATTGAGTAAACAAAATTATTTTCTCTTGCTCTTTTAAATGCATCCAAATTCTACTACTTCAGATTCAGCAACTTTCCAAAAAGGAAATTGAAGACTTGCTTCGAAGAGGTGCCTATGGCGCCATTATGGATGAAGAGGATGAAGGCTCTAAATTCTGTGAAGAAGATATTGACCAAATCTTGCAACGTCGCACAAAAACAATCACAATTGAATCTGAAGGGAGGGGCTCTACATTCGCTAAGGTAGCTACCGTTCAGCAAGTATTAAATGTGCCTTTTTCACAGGGCACTAAGAAAATTCTGTGAGCTCAGAACTGCCCTGATATTCTTAAAGACGTACAAAATGTTTTGTTTTGAATTGCTTTGAGCACAGAATGAGTTGTTTTGAATGTTTTGGTAGCATTTAAGTTCAAGAACACTCTGTTTGTTGAGCTTAAAATTTCCAAAATGTTTGGAACTGCCTGTTTTGTTTTTAAACCCCTGGAGCTGCACTCAGAATGGGAAAAGCTGAAAAAAAGGACTGAGATGTTAACTCTAAATAATTCTGTGTGGCTAATTTGAATCCATTATTGCGCACTTATTTACATTTGTATCCTGTGTAACTAACAATTGACAAAAGTATCTGATCCTGCAAATGGGATTCATTCCTACCATTAAGATACAATCTTACATAATTCGCCCTACCTTAAAAAGAATTATTACATTATGGTGCTTTACTGTTTATTTCAGGCTAGTTTTGTTGCATCTGGAAACAGAACAGATATTTCATTAGATGACCCCAACTTCTGGCAGAAATGGGCCAAAAAAGCTGAAATAGACATAGATGCCATCAGTGGTAGAGTAAGTATATTTCCAATTAAATTTACGAGTGTCTTTGGCTGAGTTACTGTGGCTATTTTTTTTAAATTGCAATAGCTTTGAGCAATTTTTTACAAATAACAGTATTCTGACTAGAAGTCTACTGCTTTAATTATATGCATGCTTTGTTTATAAAACCATCTGAAATGAACAGATCTTTATGGACCCTTTGAAGAGCCAGACAGATTTAAGGAAAAGGCATGGATTAAATGTACTCTTCACCTGGTTTATATAGGCTCTTGTGATACTCTTTATATAACCATAAATCTTTGGGAATTTGAGCTTTAGGAACCTGTCTGCCTTAATCTGCAGAGATTTTTCAAATGCACATTTGTTTATATTATGCAGAATAGCTTGGTTATTGACACCCCGAGAATTAGGAAGCAAACAAGGCCTTTTAATGCTACAAAAGATGAACTTGCTGAGTTATCTGACATTGAAAGTGAAGGAGAGGATAAACCAAAACTTAGAAGATCTTGTGATCGCTCCAGTGGCTATGGGAGAACAGAGTGCTTTAGGGTGGAAAAAAACCTGTTAGTTTACGGGTAAGATTTTTTTCTTTTACTCTGGAATAGTGTAAGAAAAATACACCTTTTTAAAAGAATATTGTCTCACTTTACCTTACTTTTTCTGATGTTTGTGGTTCCAATAATGTAATTTAACAAAATAATGTAGTGTTTTGTAAGAGGAGATTGCACTGATCACAAAACTTTTATCATTCAGCAAATACTGAAATCAAGCTATATGGTTCTTGATCATAGACAAAAAAAAAATCCAGTTAATATTGTAAGGTATAATGCATAGAATAGTTAAAAAAAATTCATATAACAGTTACTCAGATCTTTGCATCCTTAATGGCCTCCTAATGAGTGATTGACAACGTGAATTGCCATTCCTGTCATCTCTTGATAGAAATGAAGGACCCAGAATACACATTTAATTAAGAACACTGGGCATTAATGCATAAAAAGTCATCTCAAGTATGTCACTTTTGTTTCAAATGTTCAAAATTAAAATGAAATAGGTGGGGTCGTTGGAGAGAAATTTTATCGCACGGGCGCTTCAAGAGACAGCTAAATGAACAAGACGTGGAGATAATTTGCCGAGCCCTGCTAGCATATTGCCTTGTCCATTATAGAGGAGATGAAAAGATTAAAAGTTTTATCTGGGATCTTATTACGCCGACTGAAAACGGGCAGACTCGAGAATTACAGAATCACTTAGGTAAGCATCTTTGGGAGGATATTACTCTTAGCAAGCAAGCAAACAAAAAGCTCATTTTAAGCCAAGAATGTGTTGCTCGAATGTGATTCTAATAAACTGTAATTAAAAATATAAGTCCCTGCCTTTTATTCTTATTTGGCTTAGGTTTGTCAGCCCCTGTCCCCAGGGGCAGAAAAGGAAAGAAAGTTAAGACCCAAACAAGCACATTTGATATACATAAAGCCGAGTGGCTTCGCAAGTACAATCCGGAACATTTGTTGCAAGATGATGGGTATAAAAAGCACATAAAACACCACTGTAATAAGTAAGTAGCACTGTAAGCCTTGGGTTATTATAAAAAGTAATCATGAATGTGATTTTAAAATATATCTTCTAGAAATGCAAACAAATCCTTTTACTAAACCTAATGAGTTAATTAATGTTGGCATTTTAATGAAATAGGCTAAGTGTTAATGATAATGATTTTGTTGAGTCAGTAGCTTCTCCATGAGCAAGTATATCTTGACAATAAGTAAGAGAAGGAGAAAGAGAATTAGGCCAGATGATTTGGGAGAAATATTCTACTCATTCAAGAACCGTTTTGAACTCCCAGTTTGGAAGCAGCTGATAAATTTTCATACTGCCATCTATTGTCTTTAAAGCATTAGCAGAGAGCATTATATAGGCAGAAGCTCCTGTATTTATATATTTTCAAAAGTGGTCCATTCATTTTCTGGATTGAGTGAACCACAATTGGTTTAACTTCTCCCTTCAGGATTTTGGGGAATGTCTCAAAATATCTTGACTTTATGTGTCTGTCAGCTGTTTAAGTTTAAATAAAATACGCAAAGAAGGAAACCCCATCAAATTATATTTTAAGGATTGTTTTTTTTTTAAAAAAAA